GTGTTGATTTTCTGAACCATCATGGTTGAATCATTTTGGTGATGTTTAACCCATAGTGTGTATTAAACAGAAAGTACATCTCTTTTATAATGTAGTATGTTCCAAATATGGTTATTAATTTGAGAATAGTAAAAAACACTGTTCTCTTCAAAGTGTCAAGGAACATATTGCTGGTGAGTATTCTTTGCAGAAGGATTTTGATAAACATTTGAGTAAAACAAATCACTCCTTACAATATATTTATTGTTCAGGAAAAAATAATATGTTCAATCAGAATCTTCTGAGTCATTTTCCATAGCACATAGAGCTATATCCAGGAAAACTCGATATTTAAGAGGGAAAGCTAGAAGTGATTTAAGAGAACTGATCACGTGAAGCTTTAAAATCTTGGATATAGAATAGATGAAAAATGTTTTAGGAAAGTGAACATTGAATTTCTGTATTGCTCTATGAAACACAGTGAGAGAGACAGAGAGACAGAGAGAGACACACCCAGCCTGGCAGACAGACAGAGAGAGAAAGAGAGAGAGGTAGCAGGACAGAGGTGAACTTTTTAAAATTTAGATATTTGGGACTTTATATATGCTGAAGAAATAGATAATAGAAAGTTTACATTCTGAGATGATGTTTAAATACATTTATTTATAACAAACATGTATTGAGATTGTATAACAAAATACCTAATATCATTAATAAAAACAAACACTGCTAATATCAATGTGCAATGATCTGAACAGTGGACTACAGAAAATAACGAAATGGAGCAATCATGTTCAAATCACTTTATTCCTTCTGAGAATATAAAATAAAACTCTCATTGGAAATCATAACATATGTATTACAATGTATCTGTGCCCAGTGCCTGAGTATTGGCCAAAGGTTGGAGGCAAATAAGTCAGTCAGGTGAGCGCCTCTTTTCATATTGATCCTGTACATCAAGCCAAGAAATACAACAGCTGAGTTCTTGCAAAACAGAAGTCAGTTAATCATCCACGTGTTTTGAAAGGTCAAAAACCAGAGGTATATCATCAATCTGTAATTGGATTATAAAGGGGATAGTCCACTCATTCTTAACTGGCTGATCACAGAAGACAAAAGCATGTGAAGAAATGATGAGAACTGGTGTCCCTTCCACTGTTATTTTTCTATTTCTAGAGTTTTGAGAACACACATTGTATGAGTGTCACTAAACAGAAGAAGATTGCATCTTGGAAGGATTTCATGGAAGAAAGACTATCTGTGGCTCATGGGTCCAGGTCTGTGAACCTGAATCACATAATGTCTAAGTAAATCAAATTTCATTCTGTACTCCACAATTATTTCTTTTACATTTTTCAAAAAGGTGGTTTGTTGTGGATATCTCCAGTAATGTGCTTTAAAATATTGTTTGATGGCTATGTCCCGAGTATATAAAATATTCTTTTAATTTTCTCTTATGTCATCTCAATCTCGTCAAGCACTCCCCCCTCTACTCAAAATTTCCCTCTCACTGTATCATTTATTTTAGTTTCATTTGTAGCCCCATGCCTTTAATCAGGGTTGTTATATGTGCCCTTAGCTTTGGACCTAACAATTGGACCATAGTGGCCTCACAAGTAAGGAATAGGGCTGCCCAATGTTCTTCTTTCCCCTCACCTGTAAGTGTCCCCTAGTCCAGAAATGAAGATTGCAATCCCATGAGCCATGTCCCCTTCCATAAATTCCCGCAGACAAGAAAGGGCTAGTTTATGCCCAGTATAAGCAAACATGTAAGTTGTGATATCCAGCATACCCAACAAGTTTACAACAGAAGTGTCAGACGAGAGACTGTTCAGTCAAAATGGGGGCTGGGTCATTAAGTGAGTCATTTGAAAAGGAAACACAAGTACACACACACACACACACACACACACACACACACACACACACACACACACACACACACCACTCATGTAAGCACACATAAAAATACAGCAAGAGGGAGAGAGAGAGTATGCATTTGTGTGTGTGTTTGTGTGTTAGAGACTGAGAAAAAGAGAAAGAGAGAGAGAATGAGAGAGAGAGAGAGAGAGAGAGAGAGAGAGAAAGAGAGAGAGAGAGAGAGAGAGAGAGAGATTTGGGAGATTGAAAAAGGAGCCCAGAAACATGTTTTGTTGGGACTGCAAAGTTGTACAGTAACTCTGGAAAATAGTGTGGAGAATACATAGTTTTCTTTTTATGTGTATTTTATTTTATTTTTATTCATTTTACATACCAAACATGGCTTTCCCTACCTCCATTCCCTACAATCCCCCCCTCACCCCATCCACTCTTCAGATAGGGTAAGGCCTCCCATGGGGTGTCAACAAAGCCTGGCACACTTAGTTTAGGCAGGACCAAGCATCCCCACAATAAATGTTGAGTAAGACATATCACCATATGGAATGGGTTCCTAAATGCCAGAACATTCACTAAGGAGAGATCCTGGTCCCACTGCCAGGGATCCCACAAACAGACAAGACTACAAAACTGTCACCCACATGCACAGGACATGGTTCAGTCCCATGCAGGGTCCACCGCAGTTAGTCTAGATTCACATGAGCTCCTGTAATTACCCAAGTTCAGGTCAACTGTCTCTGTGGGTTTTTCCACCATGAACTTGACTCCCCTGGCTCATATAATCGCTCCTCATTCTCTTTGACTAGACGGTAGTAGCTCAGCTATGTGTTTGGATTTGGATGTCTTCATTTGATACCACCAGTTACTGGATGAAGGTTCTATGATAAAAGGTAGGGAGGTCACCAATCTGAATACAGAGAAGGAAGGGCTGGGGTGGAAAAGCAAAGAAAGGAAAATCTCCATATAGGGGACATTACAGAGAAACCTGTTGTTAGGGAAATTCCCAAGAATCCACAAGGTTGATCCCATCTAAGACCCCTAGGATTAGTGGAGAAGGTGCATAAACTGGATTTCTTAGTTTTCTAAAAGTAAATGTGTACTCTGTGACTCTGTTATTTTGCTCTTTGGACTATGCTTAAATGACTTGACATTCTATTTAATAGAAATTTTCTCTTCCATGTTCATTGCTATTCCATTCACAACAGATAGGGAAGGAAACAGATTAAATGTTCTTCATCTGTCTAATGGATAATAAAATAGTGGTACATACAAAGTATGTAATATTATTCCAAGGTAAAGAAAAATGAAATCATGACATTTGCATGTAAATGGCAGGCATGATAAAACATCCTATTGAGTGAGGTAACCCAGACCTAAGAAGACAATTGTGGCATGTTATGTCTCTTCTGTTATTCTTAGGATCAAATCTTCAGACAAAAGTTTAGGACTCACTTGAGACCATGAAAATCACATGCATGTAACAACATTTAGTGAAAAGAATTGAGATTATTGAAAGAGCTGAAGGGGTAGGCATATTGGAGGGTTTAGAGGGAGTAGAGAGAAGTTAAAAACAATGAAATTGTGTTATAATATCAAAGATAAAAGAAATAGAGATAATAATGGGGGTGTAATTTAAAAAAAGGTGTCTTGAAGGCCAACTAATGCCTTATAATGGTGTAGTTAGAAACCATAGGTTTTCAACCCCAATTACTAATATATTAATTGTAGGTTATTCATTGTTTTAGAAAGGAAAGCTCCAGAAGATTAACAGTACTACAGAGTCCTAATAGTCTTCTTGGTTGTCCATAAAACTGGATGACAAGATCTTATGGCTCAGCAAATCACAGTCCTTGGTTTTGATGTGTAAAGAGTACAACTAGGCAGGGAGTGTTTTTGCTTTAGCAAACATAAAGTAAAATTTTCAGCTTGAATGTACAGTCCGTTATCACAATAAGACAGTTTTGTGAACATCATTATATTTATAGACTGTTTCACTAGATTTGGATCCTTTTAACTAATGGCACTTGCATTTATTACTAGTGGACATCTAGTAGCATTTTCCCACTATTTATACAGTTAAGCTTCAATGATATCTCTTGGAGCTCTGTACCATGGCTGTTGAATTCAATGTACCAGAAAAATAAAGCAGTCAATATATGGAAAATCTTAAAAGTAGCACCAGACATATCCATATCCTTTTGGGAAATCTTCCTTGAATTTTAACATCTATCTTCTACTAACATGGTGACTCTAACTCATATCACCTCACAATCACTCTTAAACTCATTTAACTTTACATTATTATGCTTATATTTGGAAAATATTTTAAATGTTCTTCATGTTGCTTTATGAATCATATAGGACATATGCATATGTAGCATGACCTTTACCCACCAGCATAGTACTGGAAGCAAGAACATTATTAAATGCTGTAACAAGATAGTCCTTTCTTTGTGACAGAAATGATCAATTTTCATCCCAACATAACCTGACCTTAAAGCTAATCACATTAGTTTAGGGATATGAGTTCATACATCATTTGGCAGGGCCAAAGAGGAAATACTAGACAGATGCAGCTTAGTGTGGAGCATAACCATTGGTTGATTCCATGAAACTCCCTCTAACTGGCTGTATAAAAAGCTTTGTCAGTTCAGTTCCTTCACAACCACTAACCTCTTTGAGCTTCTGCAGAAGAGCAAAGGAAGGCGCCACCATGGTAAAGTTTCTGCTGCTGGCTTTGGCC